CACATACCCAATGCTCTTCGCCGCCGCCACCGCCGCGTCGCCCATCGCCTTGCGGATCGCCGGGGTCAGCGCGGGGGACGGGCCCTCCTCCACCAGCTTCTGGTTGCGCCTCTGCTCGGTAGGGGGGGAGGGGGAGGAGGGGAAGGGGAAGATGGGGGACAGGGGGGTGGGAGAGGGGGGGGCAGCGTGAGAAAGGGGAGAGCAAAGGGGGGGGGGGAGAGGGAGCGGGAGAGGGGGTTGATCGGGACAGGACGAGTGCGGAGGAAAGGTGTAGAAGGACGTTCGGACAGGCACGCAGAGTGAGATCAGATTGACAAGTGCAGCAACAGGGTGTTTGCCACGTATGTGCAGGGCACGCGAGTGTTAAGATGCTCATACGCGCAGCACACGCCCTCCACACTCACACCCTCCTCGCCCAATGGTCTCGCAGCGTGCCCAGAGCAGGGAGAAGGAGCGTACCTGGATGGAGCAATCGCGCTCGAAGAGGTGGATGGCGTTGCCGTACTTGTCCGCCAGCACCTGGTGGCGGGGGGGAAGGAGGGGGAGGAGGGGGGAGGGAGGGGGGGGAGGGGAGGGGGTGGGTAAGGGAGGAAGGGATGCGAGGGGCGCAGGGGGGATGAGAGGGTGTGAGAAGAGCATGACGGTATGCCAAAGAAATTGTTTGACAGGCGACAACCCCACCCACTGCACACACATCTCTCTGCCCCTCCCTGGCTTCTCCTTGACCCAACTGCGCAATCCAACACCACGTGGCGCCATCTTTTTCTCGCTGCCATTGTCACTGCGATTGCTCACAACTGCAGTTGGACCCCCCACGCTCTCTCAAACAGCATGCCTACGTGCCTCCGCACACAACCACTTCTCCTACCCGCTGCACCTTTCCGCAGAACCGCTAACCACCCTCACCTGGAACTCGACGTGGCGCGGGCGCACGATGGCCTTCTCCAGGTACACCCCGTCGTTGCCGAACGCCGCGCCCGCCTCCTGCCGCGCTTGCTGCTCGCGCCGAATACGCGCACACGGGGGAGCAGGGGGGTTGTGGGGGCAAGTGGTGTAAGCGTATTGGGAGAAAAAGCCCAAGAAACTGGTGTATGGAGACCTGAGGCCGCTAAAGTACAAGTTCTGGTTTCTTGCGAAAGCAGTCAAAGGACGTCTGTGAAACAGTAGAACACAGAGGCATGAGCGTCACATTCTAGATGAGGCGCAACACGCTTATCCCATCTCATGCGATGGGCGCATCGCCACGCCATGCAGCCCAACCGACCTGGTAGAGCTTGACGAAGTCCTCCCTCTCGAGCACGAGGCGCATGCCGCGCCCTCCGCCGCCCGCCGTGGCCTTGATCATCACCGGATACCCCATGCCGTCCGCCACCGACAACGCCTCCTCCACCGTCTGCACCGGAAGGGGGGAAGGGGAGGAGGGGAGGGGGGGAGACGGGCGGTGTGGGTGGTGGGGAGCAGCGGGTACTCTGGTGCCAATTCCATGGTCGTGCTTGTCACTGTATGTGCATCCGTGTTCGCTAGTAAGTGTGCGAGAACAGTTGAGTGAGAGTGTGCATGTGAGAGGGTGCATGTATAGTTGTGCGCGTGAGTAGGTATGCTCATCAATCGTCGCACTCACGTCGATCAGCCCTTCGCTGCCGGGCACGGTTGGCACGTTGGCTCGTCGCATGGTCTCGCGCGCCGTCGCCTTGTCGCCCATCAGGCGGATGCTGTTGGGCTGCGACACATACAGCAGTCGCATGGCAGTCGCATGGCAGGAGAGGAAAGGTGAGAGCATTACGGAGCGAACGGGGGAGGTGGAGGAGAGATGAAAGCGCTGGTAATTCATGGTGCTTACTGATTGGACACCATGCTCCGCCTTAAACCCCTCTTATCAAGGTCCCGCAGCAGTCATGCTATTTGAAATCGTGTTACCTTAGGCCTTGCATGAGTCCAAGGCTCCCGCAGCCCGGCCACATCACCCCACCACCCTTTTCCCACCGCATTTCACCCCGCGCTACCCCACGGCACCGCGCGGTACCGCACCTTGGGGCCGATGAAGTTGAGGCCGTGGTCGGTGCAGATCTCGACGAACGTGGCGTTCTCGGCCAGGAAGCCGTAGCCCGGATGCACCATCGTGCACCCCGTGCTCACCGCCGCGGCCACCAGGTTCGGAATGTTCAGGTACCTGCCAGCGGCGAGCGCGGGGGGGCATCGCGGGAAACGCGCATGGAGAAAGGGAGTGCGGAAGGTGCGATGCATGAGAATGGGTCCCACACACCATGGGTGGCGCTGATATGGAGAACGCAATCGATGGGGTGACACAGCGACGCCTGGTGGCGGAGAGAGAGACGCGGACACTCACGAATGCGCGCACGGGTGAGTGGCGGCGGAACTCACGACTGCGCGGAGGGGGCCTCGCCGATGCAGACGGCCTCGTCGGCGAGCTCGACGTGCAGCGAGTTGCGGTCGATGGTCGAGTACACCGCCACGCACGGGATGCCCAGCTCGTGCGCCGACCGGATCACGCGCACCGCGATCTCACCGCGATTCGCCACCAGGATCTTCTCTTGACACGTGGCGCCCAGCGCGCCTCCGCGGGACTTTCCGCCGGCGGCCTTGGGAGCGGAGAGGGTCTGCGCGGCGGCGTGGCGGCGGAGGGAGGTGCCGGCGAGCGAGGAGGAGACGCTGGCGATGGGCGCGGAGGCGGTGAAGGGGTCGCGCGCCGTGCACGACGGCGTTGCCGACGCCGACACCGTCGCGCGCTTGGAGATCGCGCTGACGCCGGATGCGGCCTGGTGATTCGACGTTGTGAGGGAAGGTGGTTGATGCGGGAAATGGTTAATGAGGGAGGTGGTTGATGATCAATATGCCTGTTAAGAATGAAATATGCATGTCCTAATGGATGATGATACGGACTGATAATGATGAAATATGCATGTGCATTGCATGATGAGCTGAGCGTGCTAATGGTGAGCCATATACGTCCTAATGGATGACATCAGTTCTGCAAAATAGAACTCGTCCTGATCCTAGCGTTCAAGGGTCCTCTTCCGGGAATAATACACCACTAGCGTCTTAAAAACAAAAGGTTTGAAACGGATGACTACACAAGGCCCACACAGGGCACGTGCTTGTATTTGCAATCGGAGCATCGGCGGCCAAACTAAGATTAATCAACAGATCGAATTGAGACTCTCGCACCACGTTTAGGAGTCTGGCGCCGGACATGGTGGCAGCCTCCATGGCGGGAAGCTGAGGTGTGGTGAAGATAAGCAGCAAGCGATGAGAGAGCAAGCTAACCAGGCTGCTGGGAGGAGAATGGAGCAGCGACCAGGCAAAAAACGAAAGGAATCTGAATGCAAATGTGGAAGTGATTCCTCTCAAAATCACTGCTGCACTGATTCTTGTGCAACCTGATTCCTCCTGACCAGAGTAGGCAACAGAAAGGCTGCTGGGACAGGAGGGGCGTGGTTCCCGAGAAGCGATCGGATCTGGAAGTGAGAACAACTCTGATGTGACACAATTGATGGGATCGTACAGTAATCGGCCGATCACAACGACCGATCCGAACAGAATGGACGGTTTCAGCACCTCGAGAGCTCACGGTTTTCAGCCGAAATTTTAAGCGATAGGTGATGGTGACGGGAAGTGACTTGGGGCTGACGTGTTGCAGATGACAGACAACCTCCATAGTACACCTGGCGCGATTGTGCGGCACAAACAACTGCTTCCAGATCCGAAAGTGGTGCTGACGTGGGCGCGATCGATAGACTGATCACAAACTCGAGGTTGGCTTTTGACTAGAGGGGGAGGAGGCGAATAAACTACATGGGCATGCCCAAGATGTGCTCTCACAATAACAGATGGGCCTATTATTGCGATGTGCAAAGTTTCGAGGATAAAAAACAATTATGCCAGAAATGAGTAAAATACCTAGTCTAAGATATCTTTCTCCATTTTTTTCGTTTAAAATTTTATAAGGATGAATTTTTATTTCTGTTTACTTATTATCAAACTGAATCGTATAACGTATGGTCTATGCTTACACTTTGCTTGTTCAAACTCGTTACAAATGCAGTACGAACTCAATTCCTTCAACCGAGTCAGTCTCGCTCGGTGTGGTCACTTCCGAACCGCAAGCTCTGCGATGGTGATCATGGGTGGCGAAAGTCATGGAAGGCATCGCACTGTCGTCAATCACGACAACCCTCGCGATCGTACTGCTCGCACTGCCATCGTTTGCGCCGTGCTTCGCACAGCCCCCCTACAAGCCCAAACATCAGCCACTTCTCGCCCCTCATAAGCCCACCGCGCCGTCCGTACTTTACCAGATGGCACCCTCGCACTGGTCGTCGAACCTCGGGTGCGCGGTCCGTCGGCGTCGTGCGCGCTTCCGCTCGGGTTTGAGAATTATGAAATGGTGGGAGAGCTGCTCCCGCAAAGTCCAACCAAAGCTCCGGCGAAATGCGAAGGACCGCTCCCCACTCACAGCTCCCTTACTCTTATCACTCCCTCACGCTCCTCTCCACTCCCTCACACAACCTTTCCCTCGCACAGTCAACCCCCACTCTTCGTTCGTTGTATGGGGGGCGCGTATTTGCAGGGACTGTGTATGGACAAGCCATCCCACCACCCCCGCCACCACCACTAACCAACCAGGAGACGCACGACAATCAGTAGGCAAACCCTGGCTGCACGCACAAGCGTTTCTTTCCTGTCCTCCAGGCTCTGCTGTCCCACCTGCCATACCTAAAGCAGCGACAGCAGCAGACATACAACATTTTGTTCGTGAGTTACGTAGCTCGACGAGTAAATGCTAATGGAGCTCTAGCATGCGGTAAGCAGAGAATCGGAGCTTCGCGTGAGACCATGCGTGTACGTGTTTCGAAATGGAGTGACCCCGCTTGAACGCCTTCTTTTCGCTTTAACTTTTTTTTAGTCGGCGGTCGCAGCTTCAACCTTTGACATTTAGCGCGCATATTAAAAAGGCCTCATTAATTCTGAAAGTGATTAGAATGGCGGCGATGGCGACGCCCGAGCGGCTTTTTCCCAACGCGAGCCGCTCCGACATTAGAACCCGCTTTCACCTCGGCAAGCAGCTGGGGCAGGGCGGCACAGGCGTAGTAACCGTATGCAGCGACCTTCAAACGGGGATACCGGTCGCTGCTTGCAAGAGCGTGCCAAAGAGCAAGCTCCAGCGGCGCGACGCGCTGGAGGAGCTGCAGCGCGAGGTGCACGCGAACCGGCGCGTGCGCGGGCACGCGCACGTGGTGGAGCTGCGCGGGCTGTACGAGGACGCGCAAGCCGTGCACCTCGTCATGGACCTCTGCAAGGGTGGCGACCTCTACGACTTCCTCATCGCTCGCTCGCCCGTCGCAGAACCCGTCGCAGCCGAAATCGCCAGGTACGCCTGCCGCAATTAGGGTTAAATCGCGACGTCCGTTGAAGGGCCCTAATGGTCGCTCGTCGCCTAGGGTTTCAAAGCCAGAAGCAAGCTTACGTAACGCCAGCTCCCAGTCCGAAACATCTGGGTGCTTAAACAGACTAGCATTAATTGAAATCATGATTCAAAGCCACTAACCGTCTTCCCCATTGCGTCTATTTCCGCACGCGCCCCGACAGGCAAGTGCTGCTAGCGCTGGCGCACTGCCACGCGGTGGGCGTGATGCATCGCGACATCAAGCCGGAAAACATCCTCCTCCTCGCGCCCGACGACGGCTCGGGCCGCGTGCACGTGAAGCTCGCGGACTTCGGGCTGGCCGTGCTGCTGCGGCCCGGGCAACGCGCCGTGGGCATGTACGGCAGCGCCATCTACATGTCGCCCGAGGTGGTGTGCCGCCGCCCGTACGGCCATGCGGTCGACCTCTGGGGGCTCGGCGTTATCGTCTACCTCGCCCTCGCCGGTACGCCCCTCGCCTGCCGCCTCTCCCTTCTCCACGCTTTCCTGCTCTCCGCGCTCTCTCTCGCTCCCCCGCCCTGCTCCCCTGTACGCTGTCTGTCGAGCCATTGGCCAGCTGACCGCTTTCCACAGCGGTACCCCCTGCTTGATCGCCATTTCCTCAACTGTCGCCTCGCGCTCACCCGTTCCCCTCCCCATGCCCTCCCCCCGTCCCGCGCAGGCTACATGCCGTTTTGGGGCAGCACGGACGAGGAGCTCTTCCTGCGCATTCTCCGCAACTCCCCCGACTTCCGCGCGGACCCCTGGCCGCGCGTGTCCCCGCAGGCAGTCGACTTCATCCGCTCGCTGCTCCACTCCGACCCCGCGCACCGCCCCTCCGCGCTCGCCGCGCTGCAGCACCCCTGGATCGTGCAGCACTGCGGCGGTCCCGCCGCTTCCCCCGCGCCCTCGCTTTCCGCCGAGCCCATGCCCGGGATGACACCCAAGGCCCCCGCAGCTACGCGCAAGTCTGCGCCGGCGGGGGAGAGCGGGGCGAAGGTGCACCCGGAGGCGGGCAAGGCGCAGCAGCTGCCGCGCGCGGGTAGCATGGAGGCGGGCGGGGAGGCAGCGGTAGTTGCGCCTCCGTCCGCGCTCAACAAGATACGCGTGGGCGGAGCGGGACAGTCCGGGGGACAGTCGGCCGCGCACCATGGCAGGGCGATGGACGTCGACTCCGACCAATCAGTTCCTATCGCTCCAGTCGCTTCCGCCTCTTCCGCCGCCTCCGCCGCTTCCGCCATGCCTGCGCCCATGAAGCAGCCGAGGCAAGCGCCCGCGGGAGCCCAGCGGCAATGGCCAACGCAGCAAGTGGAAGCGGCGCAAGCGCAAGCGCAAGGCGGGGAGGAGGTGCAGCCGCTGCAGCGCACGCGGCGCACGAGTCAGCCGCGCGAGAAACGCGAGGGGCGGGGGAAATCGACGAGAGGCGCGTCCGCCGCGGAGCAGCAGGTGCGCGGACGGTCCCGCCACCGCGAGTCCGCGACAGCCCCGCGCGCCATGGATGTCGACGAGCAGATGCCATCGCAGCAGTCGTCGCAGCCGTCGCAGGCGTCGTCGCAGGCAAACCACCATGCGTCGCATGCGCTGCCGCCAATCCAAGTTCCGCCTGCCGCGGGCTCCGCGCCATCGCCGTCGCCGTCGCAGGGCAGCTCGCAGGCCGCCACGCCCACGGCGCCGGCAACTCGTCCGCGCGCGTCCCACTTCCGCTTCTTCTCCCCCAAGCGCAAGTCGCGCGCCGCAACTCACGTCACCGTCGCCGACGCGCCCTCGGGCGACTCGACCCCGATGTCCTTCCCCAGCACCCCTACGTACCTCCCGCTCGACTCGCCCTCCGCATCCTCCGCCGCACGAGGCGGCGAGTCGAGCCGCTCCACTTCATCCTTCATGGACGCGGCGCCCTCGTGCTTCCCGGTTTTCCGGCGCCAATCGTCTTCCTCCTCCACGCCGCGGTCTCGCACCGCCAAGCCGTCGGTCATCACCATCCCGCTGCGCACTCAAGCATCTGCCACGTCAGCTTCCGAAGTAACAACGGTCGAGATTCCCTGCATCAGGACCGAGCCCCCTCTCGACCCAACCAAGCAGCCGCCTTCCTTACCTGAGATGCAGGCTCGGCTATCCCAACCCGACGGCTCCCTGCCCGTGCCTGAGCTCCTCTCCTACCTCCGCCCGCGCCCCTCTTCCCCCCGCCGCGCCCCCGCCGCCTCCGCGGACGACTCCGCGCCCTCCTCCGCCGCCTCCTCCGCCGCCTCCTCCGCCCCGCAGAAGCGCGGCTTCGCCAAGCCCGCGTGGATGGAGGCGATTCGAGCCGCCAAGCCGGAGGACTCGCTGGCCGGGCAGGTCGGCGCCGCGAATGGCGCCGCAAGCGGCGGGCTGCCGGCGGGCACGGATGCGCGGAGGGCGTCGAGCCAGTTCCTCGCGTCGAACCCGGCGCGCAAGCCGGCGGCAAGCGCGGCGGGCTTGGCGGCGGGTGGTGGCAGCGCAGAGAAGGGCAGCAGCCGCGCAGGTGTGTCGATCACGATCCCCGCTGATCAACCAGACTCGGAGCTACGCGGGCAGCTGGAGCAGCACGAGCAACCGCGCGAGCCGCGAGAACCGCGCGAGCTGAAGAAGAAGGTTCGGTCTCCTGCCACGCGCCCGGCGCAGCCACCCGAGTCGCCAAGTGCGATCCCCCTCGACTCGCGCCAGTCCCCCAAGCCGTCCCCCTCGTCGCTCGTCGACCCGCGGCAGTCCCCGCGCCTGTCCTCTCCGCGCAACCCGCGCGCGGGCGGTAAGCTCGTTCCGCCGCTGGTGCTCCCCATGCGCGGAACCTGCGAGGCGGAAAAGGAAAAGCCCCTCCGCCGGCGGGACTCGGCGCAGCGGGGCGCGGGAACTGGAGAGGGCGCAGGCGGAAGCGCAAGCGGGGGAGAGGAGAGCGCGTATCTGAGCTGCAAGTCCCCTTCCGCGAGCAGCGTTGCTAGCAGCGTGACTGAGGGGTGGTCCCCGTTTATGAGCAGCGCGGGCAGCGTGAGCGGCAGCAGCAACGCGGGCAGCGGCGGCAGCAGCCCGTACCACGCGGAGACTCTGACGCCAGCGCTGACGTCAGTGCTGAAGATGAGAGCAATGGTTCGCGTGCCTGTGGGCGGCAGTGCCGGGCAGGTAGCGGGACAGGGCGGGCAGGACGGGCAGGTAGAGGCAGGCAGGCAGGAGAGAAAGGAAAGAAAGGAGAGGAAGGAGAGGAGCGAAAAGCATGAGAGGCGGGAGAAGCTGGAGAGGCATGGGGTGCATAAGAGTCACATGGAGGTGGAGGGGGAAGGGGAGGAAGGAGGTGCAGCAGCAGCAGTGCACATGGTGGCATCAGCAGAGGGGGCAGATGTGGTGAGGAGCAATGGGGAGCACCGCACCCATAGCAGCAGCCATAGCCATGGCCACAGTAGCAGTCAGAGTCAGGCCCATGGTGCTCGTAAAGCACGGGGGCTAGGCTCGATTGTGCGAGCCTTTGCTGCTCTCTCCACCGCACAGCCTGACTCCGGTGCTGGTAACGGCATAACCACTGCTGGTAGCAAGTCCTCTTCTGTCCCGGTCACTCCTGTCCGCAATCCGTTCAGCAGCAACGTCTCATCCTCGTCATCGTCTGCCAAGTCAGCATCAGCACACGTGGCAAGCCTCCGCGCTGCTGGTGCCACGTCAGCAGGGCTGCGCGCATCTGCCAGCGTGGCGGCTGCAGCGGCAGCAGCGTCTGCGAATGTGGGCGCTCCCGCTGCAGCGAATGCCTCAAGCTACACCAACTCCAGCAGCTCTTCAGCTTACTCGAGTGGGTCTGGTTCTGCCCCTCCCTTCCGGCCTCCTGTGCCCAAGTGGGGTGAGGGGGGTGTTGGGACGGGCAGAGTGAAGGGCGGGGCGCTGGCGGAAGCGAGGGCGATTATCAAGCAGCGACAGATGCTGCAGCAGCAGCAACAACAGCAGCAGCAGCAGCAGGGTGGGGATTTTGGGCATGGGGATGGCATGGTGGGGTTGGCACCTGGAGGAACTTGGCTGGCCTCTCGGTGATGCAGGGAGGGAGGGACCAGGCGGGGAGTGGGATGGAGGTGGGAGAGGGAATCTGAATTGTGCGCTTTTTAGGTGTGGTTACTAGGAGCTCTTGCCTGCTAACTTCCTATTTAGGGAATGCAACCTTCAGGCTTGGGGTTTAGGACCGACACTAACCTGTTTTTTAGGTGTTATCAAGCATGTATCTGGATCTGCATTGCAAGCCTAGTCAGCTGCTGAGTGTAGCGTGAATGTTTAATTCGGTGATTCAATGGGCTTGAAGCACCACCACCACCTAACGCATCTTGTAGCACTTTTATTCCTTGTGATGCATTTTATGGATTTTATGCTGCACCGTTTGGTGGCAGCTGTGCTACTACCACGTCGTCCCTGTCCTGCCCCCTAAGTACGGACGTATCTTCCACCCCGCAGATACGGTAGAGAGAAACCGCTGCTCAATTGAATTTTGAAACTTGAGTATGGAGGCGCTCATCATTCTCTCCAGCAGCAGATAGCATATTGTTGCTAATCCTTGTACCATACCGTACAAGGTTCCTACTACTGTACATATTTGTAGAAGTTAGAATACCATCGCCATTCAACACATCACGTTGGGTTCCTACGACAATTGGAGCCGGTGTAACCTAGAAGTTAAACACCCCTACCACTCGACTGCTCCTCGCGCTGGCATGCAACCTTGCGTTGCACATCCATGCACATGCACTCACATTCGAGCACCCTACCCTAACCTAGAAAGCTACGCCATGCCACCACTCTCCCATTGCAATCACCAAGCTGTGCACCGCTCTGCATCCGCTCTCCATCCCCTGCTAACAGCACCACCTGCCAACTAGCGCAATCACACCACCCCATTCCCACCCATCTACTTCTTCCTCCTGGTTCTACTTATTGAGCCCTACCCAAAGCTCCACCTCGCCCCCACGGCCCCCCATCTACAACTATCATGTTTCTGTTGCCCTCAGTGTCGCCCACTTGCTCCGCTCCCCCATCCGCCCCCCTCTGCACCGCACCTGCACTCCCCCCGTCTCCTCTCCGCCTTCCCCATCCGCACCGTCCCAATCCCCCCCTTTCCCCCCCTCCTCAGTCGTCGCCAGCCGCTGATACGCCTTGGGGGTCTTCCCCGTCCTCTTCCCCGCCGCCCTCTCGCCGCCCTCTCCCGCCCTCCGCTGCCCGCCCACCTCCCCCGTTTCCGCCGCCCCTCCCCCGTTAATATCACGTCCGTTCGTCACAGCGCCAGGAGCGTCCCCCGCTGCAGTCACGGGCCGCCCCGCCTCGTCCTCAACCTCCCATAGCCTGTCCGCGCTCGTCTCGAAGTCCGCCCGCTGCGCAAAGAAGCACCCAAAGCACGCTCCGAACACATTCGCGCGCGTCCGCGGAAGCCGCGCGCCCGCCCCCTCTCCCCCCGCGTCTAACTTCTCCGCGCCGCGCACGCCCGTCATCAGGCCGAGCCGCCACCCGCGCTTCATCCACCGCATGCGCCACAGCCGCCACATGCGGCGGCGCGGCCCGGCAGGCGGCATGTCGAGCCCGTCGTCCATCGCGCCGTCTGCTGCGGCGGATGGCGGCTCGACCCACGAGTTGGAACGCGCGGAAGCGTACGACGACGACGGCGACGAGGGCGGCTCGGTGACTGGCTCCGACAGTGACGTCATGAGGATGCGACCCGGCGAAGCGTCGTCGGCGGCGGGAGCAGCCGGAGCGGCTTCGGCCGTCTCTGCGCTCGAGTCGTCCGCGGCACCGTTTCTCCGCGCCACTGCCGCCGCAACTGCCGCTATGACGCTTGAGGATGGCGCATCGGACGGTACGGACGACGACCCACTCTCGCTGCTGTTTCCGGCGCTGCTGCCCATTCCCCACGCGCCTCGGCCCATGGGCGCCCACACGTCGCTCTTCAGCTGCGATGCCGCCGCCGCCGCAGCAGCCGCCGCCGACGACGCCGCAGACGACGCCGCCGCCGCAGCGGCTGCGGCAGCGGCGCTGGCGTTAGGAAGGGCGGCGCGGATAGCGGCGGAAACGGACCCCGCGTCCGCGCGCCAGAGCGCGGAGGGCGTGCGGGGGAGCGGAACCTCGGAGCCGTCGAGAACAATCGGCGCGGCGGGTCCGCAATGAGCGACGAGCCACGGATGATTGATAAATTCCTCCACGCTGCTGCGGCGATTCGGGTCGACGACCAACAGGCGTCGCACGAGCGATTTCGCGTCGTCGGAAACGAACGGCCACGGGCTGAACCGCATCTCGTACCGCCCCTCGCAGATCTTGCGCGCCAATCGACGGTCGTCCTTGTCCATAAACGGCAGCCCGCCCGATAGAAGCACGTAGAGAATCACGCCGAGGCTCCACACGTCGGCCTTGTGATTGTAACGGTCGCCCAGCACCACCTCGGGCGCCTCGTACATGAGGCTGCCCACGCACACCGTCGCGAACACGCCCGGCGGCAGCACGAGGCCCAACCCGAAATCGGCGAGTTTCACCTGAATCGCCGCCATTGCCTCGCTGCGCATGTTGAGCCCCGCGCCGGCCGCCGCGCCATCAGGGCGGTTAGGATAGTGCAGCAGGACGTTCTCGGGCTTTAAGTCGCGGTGCATGACGCCGCGCGCGTGGCAGTACCGCACCGCGTCGGATAACTGGCGGAAAACCCTCGCCGCCAGCGGCTCGGGCATCTTCCCTTCATGGAAAATCTTCTGGTAAAGCTCTCCGCCGTTGCAATACTCCATCACCATAAACACGTCAGACCCGTCCTCGTACACCCCTTCCAACCGCACTATACCAGGATGGCCCGCAAGCGCGCGCATGAGCGCAATCTCCTGCGTGAGCACCTGGCGCTCGAGCACGCTCTTAAGGCGCGCCTTGCTGACGATCTTGCACGCGAAGCGCTGCCCGGTCCCGCGGTGCGTGCACTCGACGACGACGCCGTAGCTGCCGCGGCCTATCTCCTTGCCCATGGCGTACGTGCCGTGAGGACTGGACAACGGTCCCGATAAACTTAAACATCGCGAGGCGGTGCTGGACAATTGTGCGGCTGTGACCTTGCTTGTGAAGGGGTGATTGACGAACGGGTTGAGCGATGGCGTGAATGACGGAACGGGCTGCGGCCACGACATCAACAGCTGGTTACCCTCATCTTGACGAGCGAACATCGTCATCCTCGCCCTACCACACTAGTACCTCCCAGCTCCCAATGAAAAGTGCCTAATAAAAAAAAAAACTAGGGTTAGCATGTGCTCAACATGCTTGTCACTGTAATTTTACTAGCGCCAGTTCAACGGCGGAACCAAGGCAGGCCACTCACGTCAGGAGGAGAGAGAGGAAAGCTGCACGCCATAGTTGGTGTGGTGTGGACCCCAGAGAGTGGAGGGTGTGACGCGAGAAGGGGGAGGAGAAGGTGAGTTGGAAGGAGCACCAGCTCTGCTTCCTCCCCTCGCCACGCCACCGCATTGGCGGAAGGCGAAGTCACGGGGAGAGGCAGACAGACACACCATCGAAGCGGGGAGACGGGGATTGGGGAACCTGCGCCGCGCCGACCACGCGGTGCTGCGTTGTGTGCACTTGCCTCGCAACCCAAACCGGCGGACCTGGAAAAGTCCTGCCCGATTACAGAACAGGTATGAAACCCAGGTCGATTTCCGCTGTGCCTTCACATGTGGTAGGTTCACTTGCCCGCTTGCGGTTATTTGACGGCGGTTTCTTGCCCGCAACTACTGTTGAGAGGAGCGCAAAACGGAAGCTAGGGGCACCACCAGCATGGCGCGGCTCGTTTGGGGCAAAATCGGGGCTGAAGCTTCCACTCAGCAAAGCCTACTTGCTAGGTCTGGCCAATCACAGTCAACGTTCCACCTAAGCAATGGGATTGTATGAGGGGCCCTCTGATTCTATAATGGGGGTCAGGAACTTCGGAAAGGAGGGAATTGACAGACTGGCACACCCGTGACGCAGGACCCTGGGAATACAGTTTACTAAACACCCATATTTCGTACGCTAACCTATGTAAAATACAACGGAGTAAGTTGTTTAGTCTGACCAGACTGCTTGCGCGGCACCGCAACACCAACTCGGGCAGGTTCGTAGCGCGTGTTCTGGTCACTTGTGCAACCACGGTGCGTGGGAGTGGCGGGACTATCCAAGCAAACTTTTTGTCCTTCCTGTCAGTGAACCTAAAAGAGGCAAGCCTCACATTTGGCCACTTTCAATACAGTATATTGGTGTAGACTTTCTCCTTTCTCCTTACGCCTTATTCCTCCACCGAGACACATCAAATCGGGTTGAATCACATCAGCACACAACCCTCCAGCATCAGTCTACGACATTACTATTTCTGTTTCTTTCCGTAACTGGTTAAACATATCAAGTTAACAAACTCTGAAGGAGAACGCGTATGTTTGTAACGGATATTACCACTTGCCCAACCCCAACCAGCAACAAGTCAAGGCGGTTGACGGAGAAACCTGGCACCATCACCTGAATGCCAGACTGGCAGCACTACAGTAGCCACCACACACCACACTCTCTGGCAGGGGCGCGACACTCTCACTTTTCCAGGAAGCGAGACGCCCTTCTCCAGCTTGCCAGGCCGAGTCGCGTTCACTCAGTTGGGACAACATGACAAAACTGACAACACCTTTTTGACTCACTCAACCATTCTGGAGATAGCCACACCATGTAAGACTCCTATCTGTTTGTGAGCAGGAATCCTCGCCAACCAAGCTCACTCGTAAATAGGATGTGATGTGAAGGCTGCTCTCACTACAATTTTCATCCTCCACCTAGCCCCTACGGCAGACCAATTGCACTAACTTGGCGTGCATTGTCGCAACCCTGGACGGCTTCATGTCTGATTGAGTTTATGAAACTGTTTGCCTTCGGGCCCAGAATCTCTAGTTTCAATCACAGGCGGCACTGATGCCAGGAGAGTTTATTATTGAGTCATCCCCATTGTGCGGGATCAGACCTACGGCCGATCTACTAGCTGAATATATATTCGTCGACGTTCTAGGGAAGGGAAAGTACGGCGTGGTGTGGAAATGCAGGGAGCGCCGAACGGGCCGCGAGTTCGCGTGCAAGCAGATCGCCTTCCGCGCTCTCGATCGCCGCGCCCTGGAAGTGGCGCTTCGAGAGATCGACGTCCTTAATCGCATGCGCGGCGCGAAGCACGCGGTTTCGCTTGAATCGGTCTTCGGCGACACGGCCTCGCTCTATTTGATCCTAGAGCTGTGTGCAGGAGGGGACCTGCTATCGCGCATCGAGCGGAAAGGTCGGTTGCCTGAACGCGAAGCGCGGCGGGTGTTCGCGTCCGTGGTTCGCGCTGTGGAGGAGTGCCACATCCGCGGTATTATCCACCGCGATATAAAGCCCGAAAACATTCTCCTCTGCCCCGTATCCCCTTCCAAGGCCAAGCCCCGGCGCGATCCCCGCTCGCGGAACCCCGTCTCCGAGGAATTCGCCCCCAGGCTCGCGGATTTCGGGCTGGCGATTCCGCTGCGCGCGGACCAGCAAGTGGTTGGCTACGCGGGAAGCTTCCCCTACGAGGCGCCCGAGGTGGTTGCGCGCGCGCCGTACGACGGCTCCGCTGACGTGTGGAGCCTCGGCGTGCTGCTATTCGCCATGCTCACGGGATCGTGGCCGGGATTCACGGAGGGCGACGCGGACAGGCGGCTGGAGCGCGCGGTGGACTGGCGCGCGGAGAGCTGGGCGGGGGTGTCGGCGCGCGCAAAGGCGCTGATTGCGCGCTTGATGGCGGTGGACCCGGAGAAACGGCCGAGCGCGGCTGAAATACTGCAGGACGCTTGGTTTGTCGAGAAGGATTGTTTGGCGGATGGAGAGGGAGTGCAGCGGTGCGGCTCCACGCGGATGACACGTGGAACCAAGAGCGGCTGCCACGTGGCGCTGACCATCGACGTGGGGTACGGGTTAGATGACGAGCAGGGCTCAGGTGGTGCGTCTTGGGAGGAAGCGGAAGATAGAACGAGGGAGGGGGAGAGTGGTATGGTTGGTGCGGAAGGGAGGAGGCAGGGAGATCAAGGAAATGCAGGAGACCGGTCGGCGATCAAAATGAACGTGAATCGTGTGGCTGTGGTGCCTCCAGCTCACCACCTGGTGGCGCACAGGAGTCCACGTGGACGTGAACAGTGCGCGTCGCCTGGGAGGAGCTGTGCCTTCATGGGTGGGTGGGGGCGTGTCGCTGTTGGTGGAGCAAGGCAGTGAGTAGTGTGCAGTTAGTAATGAGTCGAGGGTTATGCACGGCACAGTGAGTGCAGAGCAGGGAGGGCATGCAACAGTGGGGCCATCCAGGGAAGCTGGTACAGGAATAAGATCACAGCAGAAAGATGGATCAGCAGCTGTGTGCCTAGAAGATTGTAGCTTCTGGGGTAGCACATGATTGCTGTAAGATGCAGCCCAAATAAGAGCATCGTCGCTCAAACCCCGAGAAGCAGGGAAGAGCAGGACCTTTTGAAGCAATATTGCATTCTCTTTGTCTCTAAGTTCAAGTACATCTCACAGATTTTTGTGGCCCCCGAATGTAGTTGTGATATTGATCAACAGCTATCTTATACAATATCAAGCTGTTCCTACATAATTCACTGACTTACTAATTCTACATTATCCTACTGCACACATGTGAGTCATGCACGTTGAACATGAGTAACAAATGGTGATGCTTGGCAAACGGAACGAATGGCAATTATGATAGTGGCTGCAAACGGATGGTGATGGCATGCTTATGATGTTGCGAGGTTGCCAAGGGCAGGGATCTGAGAGGTATAAGAATCGGGGTGGTGCAGTGTTGAGTTTGCTGGGCTGGTTGGGATTGAAGGGTTTGATGGGTTTGCTGGTGGGATGGTAATACGCGATACAATGTAGATGCGGATGGTGGGTCCTCCACCTAGATGCGGCGCAGCGGCGCAAGAATGCCACAGCCTCTCTTCCTGCTGTCCATGAGCTGGTGAAACTAGCTGCTTCCCCACTAACGCAGTACACAGCCACGCTGCGACAGAACCTCAGATCAGATGTAGGATGCGGCGGGGGTCCTCCACAATGTCCTTGATGCGGCGCAGGAAGAGCACGGCCTCTCTGCCGTCAATGCACCAGTGAAAGCTGCCTACTTCCCCACATAACACAGCGCAACTGCAGGTGCGACTTATATGTCCAGGAGAATACGCCTAGGATCCTCCACAATGTCCTTGATGCGGCGCAGGAACAGCACGGCCTCTCTGCCGTCGATGAGGCGGTGGTCGTATGTGAGCGCCACGTACATCATGGGGCGGGCCACGATGTCCTTGCCGATAACGACCGGGCGCTGCTGAATGGCATGCATGCCCAGGATGGCCGACTGCAGGCAGAGATGGTAATGGGGCAGGGGTGCGGGGGAGAGGGGAGGGGGATGGCGGGAAGGGGGGAGGAAGGAGAGATAATGAAGATCCAGCCATGAAAGGCGGTGGTCGTATGTGAGCGCCGCATACATCATGGGCCGCGCCCAAACGCACATGAGACGTCTCCAAAGTCACCTGGAGCATCTCAGCACTCACCTGAGGCGGGTTGATGATGGGTGTGCTGATAAGACTCCCGTACACGCCCCCATTGGAGATGGTGAAGGTGCCGCCCACCATGTCATCAATGCAAATGGTGCCGTCCCGCGCCTTCTTGCCCAGCTCCTGAGGTAATGACTCACCTGGGGGACCTTGGAGCTTACCTGAAACATCTCATAACTCACCTGAGGCGGGTTGATGATGGGCGTGCTGATGAGGCTGCCATACACGCCCCCGTTGGAGATGGTGAAGGTGCCACCCGCCATGTCATCAATGGAAATGGTGCCGTCCCGCGCCTTCTTTCCCAGCTCCGCTACAGTGCGCTCCACGTCCACAAAGCTCATCTCGTGCACCTTGCGAATCACCGGCACCACCAGGCCCTGCAAATGGGGGGCAAGCAATGAGAAAGGGGGGCAAAATAATTCAGGAAATGATGGTGGCACGCCCTCAGGTCAGGATCACAAGCATTTCTTGCCCAGCTGTGCCCAGCTCTGCCACGGTGCGTTCCACGTCCACACAGCTCATCTCGTGCACCTTGCGGATGACTGGCACCACCAGACCCTGTGAAGTGGGGGAAGGACAAAGGGTGAGAGCAAGGAAGCACAGAGGAGGCACAAGGAGGGAATATGATGCTCGCCCTCACAAGCCGCTCTTGCCCAGCTGTGCCCAGCTCTGCCACGGTGCACTCCACGTCCACGAAGCTCATCTCATGCACCTTGCGTATCACCGGGACCACCAGAGCCTTCCAAAAGGGGGAAATTAAATGGCAGCAGCACAGGGGGTAGGGGGAGAGCAGTAAGAGGACCAAGGCCATCATCTCATGCCTCTTGCACTGCGAACCACTGCTAAAACGATGCGGCCCTGAAGCGAGAGCATAGACAAGAGACAGCAGGATCATTGTGTGACCGACGTTGCAAATTCCATAAAATCAAGATGAGATTTGCATTATAAGACAGAGTGATGACGTGACAGCTCACCTTGGGAGTGCCGACAGCAATGCTGACGTCGATGTAGTCGCGATACACAATGTCGTCCCCATCGATCACCGCATTCACTGCTGGCTCCTGCTGCAGTGCACTGGACGCCGCCTGGCATACATGGGACAACACAGACACACACACATAGCTCATGCACAACTACTGGGGCGCCTACAATGTCAACTCATTCATTGCTGGCTCCTGCTGCAAGGCACTGGACTCCGCATGCCATGCATGCACAATATGATGAAGACTAAGAGAACACTGCACAATCATGCGTTCAGCACGAATCCAAAGCCTGTGTCGCATGGAGTTTCCATATGCTTAAAATCTGCTGCTGCGCACTGAGGATGCAACCTGCCATGCACGCACGGCACGGTGCGCACACGCACGCACACGGCTCATTTACAATTTCTGGGAGGCGCTTGTGACAAAGGCCTAGAATGCACCTCAACGAAGCTCTACCTCAACGAAGCTCTACCTCCACCAAGCTCTACCTCCACACCACCAAGCTGTACCTTGACGAACGCGGACATGAAGCCGAGCTTGATGCCGTGCTTCTCATAGAAGGCATCCTTGAAGTCGTTGCGCAGTGCAATGAGGTTCGTCCTGGGGGGGGTGACGATGCCAAATGGGGGGTTTGGATGCAGGGTGGGGGGAGGAACAAGATGCCGAGCATGATGCCGAGCATGATGCCGTGCTTCTCATAGAAGGCGTCCTTTAAGTCATTGCGCAGTGCAATGAGGTTCGTCCTGGTGGTGAGGTGAGGGGCATTGGGCATGGGGAGGGGTGGGGGTGGAGTTGCGAGTCCTTGATGCCGTGCGTCCGTGATGGGGGTGAAGGGGGTGAAGGGGGTGAAGGGGGTGATGGGGGTGAAGGGGGTGATGGGGGTGATGGGGGTGAAGGGGGTGATGGGGGTGATCCGGGTGAACCGGGTGATGGGGGTGATGGGGGTGATGGGGGTGATGGAGGTGAAGGGGGTGATGGGGGTGAAGGGGGTGATGGGGGTGAAGGGGGTGATGGGGGTGATGGGGGTGATGGGGGTGATGGGGGTGAAGGGGGTGATCCGGGTGATCCGGGTGATGGGGGTGATGGGGGTGATGGGGGTGATGGGGGTGATGGGGGTGAAGGGGGTGATGGGGGTGATGGGGGTGATGGGGGGGATGGGGGTGATGGGGGGGATGGGGGTGATGGGGGTGAAGGGGGTGATGCGAAGCCGAGCTTGATGCCGTGCTTCTCATAGAATGCTTTCTCGAAGTCGCTGCGCAGAGCGATCAGGTTCGTCCTGGGATGAAATTATAACATGCTTAATAAGCACGTTCTGCGACCACTCACACAACGACAAGACTCACATGTCGATTTCATTGAACGTGGTGAGCATGGCAAACGTGTTCTGTGAGTCCTTACGGCATACTGTGTGATGAGGTGACAAGTTGTACACTTTACCCACGGAAAAGTCACCTTGCATACTGTGTGATGCTACGCCCGTCACAAGTTGTACACTTTACCCACGGAAACGGCACTCACATGTCGATTTCATTGAACGTAGTGAGCATGGCGAACGTGTTCTGTGAGTCCTTGAGTCGCTGCGCAACGCGCCGCCGCAGGCGAGTCATGGGCACCTGGTGAGTGTGGGTGGGGGACGTGGGTTGACTTTTGAGTCGACTCAAAAGTCAACTGGTGAGTGGGGGTGGGGGACGTGGGCACCTCGCATGGCAGCATCCAATGTGACGGCAGAGGGGGAGGGCGCAAGACAAGAGAGTGACTTTTCAATGACCCGACTTAGAAACTCGTGTTCTGTGAGTCCTTGAGACAAAAAGCACCACACGCCGCCACATGCGTGTCTTGGACACCTGGAAACGGGGGGAATGGTTTGAGATATGGACATGAGTCCACGCATGGCAACCGAAGTGTGAGGAGGGCAGACGGGAAGAGAGAAAGAGGGACTTAAGACCAAGACCTGGGATCGAAGGGAACGTAGCTGACGAGATAGAGGCAAAGGTGCAAGGCACTTTATGGCTAAGATTCAGCAGCGTTGGACACGAAAGCCTACCCGTCGCTCCTCCTGCATGGGGATAATCGGTAGAGCAGAACCCCCCGCAGGAGCAGCCTTTTGAGGCGCCTCAATAATCGGTAGAGCAGAACCCCCCGCAGGAGCAGCAGCAGCAGCGGCAGATGGCCGGGAGGCCGGCGGAGGAGGAGGAGGCGGGGGAACAGCGCGAGCAACAGGCACGGGGCGAGGTCCCTCCACTGCCTCGACCACGCGGTCGGCGAGCGTGGTGGAGGCGGGGAGGGCCTTGGCACGACGCACAACGGCAATGTAAGGCTATTACCGTAAGACAAGAGAACCTACCCGTCGCTCCTTCTGCCTGGGAATAATCGGCACAGCAGGACCCCCAGCCGGAGCAGCAGCAGCAGCGGGCCGGGAGCCAGGTGGAGGGGGAGGAGGCGGGGGAACAGCGCGAGCAACAGGCACGGGGCGGGGCCCCTCCACGGCCTCCACCACGCGGTCGGCGAGTGTGGTGGAGGCGGGGAGGGCCTTGGCGCGGCGCACGACAGCAATGGGCGTGCCGGGCGTGACAGTGTCGCCCAGCTGCACGCTCACTGCCTCCACCACTCCCTCGTCTGGACTGCGCACGTCTATCGTCACCTGTCAGTGAGGGGAAGGGGGGGGGCAGACGGGAGACAATGGAATATTGGTGCTTTGAAACATGCATTTGTGGTGGTGGGGGTGGAAGATTTCCTTGGGTTGGATAATGCGGTTATGCCTTCACTCGTGCCGAGAGTGATAGTGTCGCCCAGCTGCATGCTCACTGGCTCCACCACACCCTCATCTGGAGTGCGCACGTCTATCATCACCTGCCAGTGTCTCAAAGGGAGAGAGGAAGAGAGGGGGATTGTGAGTGTCTCAAAGGTCACCTTGCTCTCCACCGCGCCCTCGTCTGGACTACACACGTCTATGATCACCTGTCAGTGGGGGAGAGGGGGGAGAGGGGAAGAGAGGGGGATTGTGAGTGTCTCAAAGGTCACCTTGCTCTCCACCGCACCCTTGTCTGGACTACACACGTCAATGGTCGGTCATCAGCAGCAGGAATGGACTCTTAGGAAGGATAGGTGGGGCACCGAGGGAAGAGAAGAGAAAGGCGAGCAGTAGGTAATGACGAAAAATGGACACTAGAAAGCATGGGAAAGGCATGGCTGACGCAAGAACCTATGCCCTTACACATGCCCTGCCGTCTCCCTCCACCCCTCTCTTCCTCACCTTGTCTGTCTCCACCTGCCCGATCACTTCATCCATGCGCACACTGTCGCCCACACCTGCACCCACACCACACCACAAGGGACGTGGGGCACAGGCACAGTCCCCTCCACCCCCCCACACCGCCCTCCACCCCTCTCTTCCTCACCTTGTCTGTCTCCACCTGCCCGATCACTTCATCCATGCGCACACTGTCGCCCACACCTGCAGCCAACCACCATGCCACACACCGGACAAGGGGCACAGGTGCAGGTAGAATGAGCTAGAGGCACCGGTAGAGACAGAACGGACAAGGGGCACAGCCGCGCAAGAGGCAACCAAAATGTAACAGCACCACTTAGCGCCTCAAACAAAGAGACAGGTGATGAGTGCAGCAGTGTGATCAGGCAATCATCCCCCCCCCCCCCCCCCCCCCCCCCCCCCCCCCACTCTTGAGCAGGGCAGGCAGACAGCACACCGTCATTCAACGATTCCCCCATGGATGGCACAACCACCTCTATCCTCATGCACCAAGCTGTACTCATCCACCCACTCCCTCGCCCTCGCCCTCGCCCTCTCCCTCGCCCTCGCCCTCCCCCTCCCCCTCCTCACCTGCTATCAGTTGTCCCTTTGGGAATTTCAAGAGCGAACATCACTCATTCCTCTTCACTCACTCTTGAGCAGGGCAGCCAGCACGCCATCGTTGACAGACTCCCCCATGGACGGCACCACCACCTCCACCGTGTCGTCCCCATGCACCAAGCTGTACTCATCCACCCCCTCGCCCTCCATCTCCTCATCTCCTATCGGCCCCACCGCTGCTTCTGCTGCTGACGGCGCCTGCACTCCTCCTGCTGCGGGCTTGGCTGGTGGTGCGGCAGAGGAAGGGGAGACGAAGGCGACGGTGGTGCCGGGAGTGACCGTGTCTCCCACCTTCACTTCAATCTGCATGGGGAGATGGATGAACAAGATGGAGGGAGCAGATGGACGGCCGGATGAGATGGAAGAGATGAAACCGGAGTGAGACGCAAGAACAGGAAACCAGTTACATCGAGAACGGAGAGAACAGTGTGAGAACGCAGGAGAAAGCGAGCAGGAGAAGAAGCACACGCATCTGGGAATCATCAGGAGTGATAAGAAGAGGAGAAGTAGCAGCACGCACCTTCTGCAGGACTCCTGCTCTGGGGCTGCGCACGTCAATGGTGACCTTGTCCGTCTCAATCTGCGCTATAACCTCGTCCTCCTCCACTGACTCGCCCGCCGCTGATCACATGACACCCACCAGCCCGCGCAAGAGGATAAACACCACCAGTCGATGGAACAGATTCCATGCGGAGAAACTCCAGCCAGTGCCATGCAGAGCAGCCGCAACCAGTGGAGGCGGACAAAAACCAGTGCATGTGCACAAACAACACCAGCCATGCCCAGAGAAACTTAAACCAGAAATTCAAATCGCACAAATCAGCACCATTTTATGTGACTATTCCATGCATTTTCGGCAAGCAACAAGCGCACAGAGGTGAGGGAATGCAAAGAAACTCAACAAGGTCACTACCTATAAATTTAAATGAACGGCCAGTCGAGGGTCCGAATTGTCTGGCACTCTTTATGGCACGGTGGTCGAAATTTGAGTACCTTTGAGAACGGCAGATATGGATCCATCTTTTATTGACTCGCCCATTGTCGGCACCAGTACTGCTGACGGCAACCCTGCAGGTGACAGTGAATGAGACGGCACCATGGCAGAAGGCAGACCGATCAGCATGCCGCATGAGACATCACACACAGACAACGACATAACCAGTGGCCATGTCATGTGCTGCAGTACCACCACCAATTCCATGCACAATCTCACGGAGTGGTAGTGTGATTTGTGTTAAGAGCTGACTATATGGATCAATTCACCCATGCAACCACGCAACTAGTACCCACACACCCATGCTCCCAAACCTGACCTGACCCCATACGCTACACTCTCATTAGCACCCCGTTCTTGCTACACCACGTCAGCACCTGCGTCGGCAGCCATGAAGCGTACACGGTCCAGCGTACGCCACGCCACGCACTCAGCCATAGCCATCGCGGCTCTGCAAGACAAATGAAATATTAGATCCTTATCAGTCAGAAGCTTAACGCAGCAAAGCATAACGGCAGACACGATTGCGCAGACCACAAATATCAACGTGCGGACCCCATTGAGCTCGCTGCATACCTGTTGCTGTTGTACGCGAACGGGCCTTTCGAACATCCTGCGAAACAGAAAGAACCAGAGAATGAGATGAATGCGGAATGCATAACCACACGGGATGACCTTACGCGGGATGAAATACCACGCGGGATGAATCACCACAACTCACACCCACGTGGCGACGTCTCACCTCCAAGCGTGGTGAGTCCGCGTCGGCTGGTCAGGATGGCGACGGCTTCACTCCGGGTCACGACGACTCCCAGCTGTAACAGGAACACCGATCACACATTCTTTAATGAGCATTCGTTTAGATAAGCATGGTCGAATTCAGATGGCTAATTAAGGATTTATTGAGGGAAGAGCAACGACCATCAGTTGATAAACGCGGCTTCATCCATTGCACTTCCAAAACCATAAACAAACAAGCGCGAAAGCCCTATTTAAAGGAAGGAGGGACCAGACGCACTTCCTTGCCGGATCTCCAGGACCCTCGAGCCGCTTGCCTTGCTAACAATCTCGACACCGACCCGAGACCTCTCATGGTGTACGATTAATAAGGAAACAAGCCAGTAACAGCGAGCATGAAAAGGGCGGCACTCCCGTTGCTCGGAGCAGAAGGGAATGCTCCAGAACAGTCACGAGATCCGCGGATCTGCGAGCTGCTAAATGATGGTTGCGGTTCGAGCAATGGTACCTAGAAGAACAAGCCAGAGCTTGTGTAGGAAATGGAAGGTCGTTGACCATAAAACTGGAAACTCCCAAAGCACAAGGTCATGGAAGATCGCGGGGTGACTTCGTGTTTGTCCAATCTGGATACCCGACTTACCCCATATAAAAAAAAATTCCTTTCAAGCGTTTTAAAACAAGACGAATCTCACACAACCGCAATCTGACTGGAATGTGGTGGGCAGGGAGGAACGGCGAAAGCAAACGACCGACAAAATTGACGCCAACACGGCAATAGCCCTGTCATTTGCTGCAATCTTGTCCCACACGTGGTCACATATGACGTCACGTAAGCGACTGCTGATTTGGCTCCTGCTGTGTGGCGGCGTTCCCCCCAAGGAGCCCGGGAAATGTGGAATACAGCACGACAGTAATTCGTTGAGATAGATAATCGAGAATAACCCTGAAAACATTTGTAGTTATTCTATCCAGCCAACTTCCGCGTTGTGTCGCGTATGTTTTGAATGCTTGAATTGCCTAGCAGGACCTGATAATCTGCTGCAAGCCCTAACTCAAATCCCTCCACGACGTTCAAGCCTGACTTCTGGACGTTCATCAGATCAACAGTCATCACAGCTGATTCAGTGTTTCTGGTTTCAACTATTAGCTCATTTTAATGGAAGGTCAAGGTAACCACGGCCCTGACGAGAAGCCGAAGAGCGAGGGACAGCACATTAATCTCAAAGTCAAGAGCCAGGTCCGTAGAGCACTATACTGTTCGCTGTCCCTTCCTCCTTTCCGTTAATCCTGGTTTTGACGGATGTCCTTGGGGTCTGCAGGATGGAAACGAGGTATTTTTCAAGATCAGGTCCACTTCTACGTTCAAGAAGTTGATGCAGACATATTGTGACCGTCAATCGATTGACATGAACGCCATCGCATTTCTTTTCGACGGCAGACGATTACGAGCTGATCAGACTCCTTCCGAAGTACGCTTTTCCGTGATCGTCGTTTTCCGCTCCGACCATGGTGTGCATATGCAAAATCTCATTTGTCACATGCTGTGTTTGTTTGCAGCTGGAAATGGAGGATGGGGACGAGATTGACGCTATGCTTCACCAAACAGGAGGTCGATGAACCAGTGTCTTTTTTTTTTTTCAGATGGTTGACTGGGTTAGATTTTTCGTGATGGCTGCTGACAGACGCTTGCAGTAGAACCATCTCTTTGCTAGACGTGTGAGAACCCCTAAGAGCTCAATCTAGGGTGCTGAAAGCTTGGATAAGGGCACTTGTTAGCATCTCGTTGAGGATACACAACACAGACCTCCTCTTTCCCAGGCCTGCAGACTTCACTCGTAGTAACATACTAGCATAGCCCCCCTCTGTCCTAACAGCGTTGTTCAATATAATTTCATTTGTAGAGCAGATTTATTTTTCTCCAACTTCGCTTTTGGTCTGTCCACCGTTTTTTGGATACAGCAAGACAAATTGCAAACAATAATCAAGTTAGCTATGCCGTGACCAAACGCAGTGTCCTTTGATGAAAAGGAAAGTGTTACATTGTATTTTGAGACAGCAACTCATTGTGTACCACATTGATAATCTAGACTGGTTCGTAGATGGGCAAGCATAGAGCTGTCAAGGTTGGTCCTTGACCTTGATGTCCTCTATAGTGGAGGATGGCTCTGAGTGTGTCTTCGTCAATGGGGAGCGGTTGCGAGGTGTACCCAAGGTAGCTCCCAGGACCGCTGTCCGACGTGACTGCCAAGTGCATTCACTTTGAGTGCGGAAGAGAAAGCTTCTGCTTCCTTGATTGCCTGACACTTCCTCCTCATCCTCGCAGTCTTCCCCCTCCTCACGTTCACGGCCGCCATGTCCAAAGGCCTCCTTTACTCGCTCCTGGATGTTGCGCCACGTATCCTCAGGTGCAATCTGCGTGGATTTTGAAGCTTCCCCTTCTTCACGAGGTGGAACTTGGATACCGAAGATGTTGGAGCTTGTGGGTGCAAAATGGACATGCCGGGGAGGCTTAGATGCTTGAGGACCAGGCCCACCGACTGAAGCGGATTGTTGAAATGCCTTCTCTTGGACTGGGACACTGGAACAGTCCTCTGCAGGAACCGATGAAAGAGAGAGATCTTGTAGCGCACGTGTGCTGTCATCGTCAGCTGCCATCGACAAGGTTGCCTAAGGTTGTCGTAAACCTAATGAAGAAGGCGGCAGTCGCGGGATTCGGTAATGCTGGGCCACTAAAGAATTCCCTGCTGACCAGGAAGACTAACAATCAGGTTCTTGGACACTGAACTCCAGGAAAAGTACGAGTCCAAAGTCAGGACTATTTTTGCTCGAACCTGAAGTAGACGCAGAAAGACTAAGCGCCACGTCAGCCGTGCATTTGGCAGACGGGCATAGTGGCGGTACCTCTCCCTAAAGACATCTTGTGGGGACAGGGTAGGAGAGATTGATGAACACAGCTGTCAGCAAGCACACGGAACGAAATGGGGGGGGGTTAGTGGGAATGGTGTCTGAAGGCAAAACTGATGAGATGGGGAAGTGTAGATCTGTGACACTTCAAAGTTCCTTGCTGGCTTGGTCATCTGTACAGTCATATGACCTTCAGTCCCTCCCATTCCCCTATCGCAAACCTGACGGTTACACTTTTTAGCAGTTCGCCGAGGGGCAAACCACATCGTTATCTTGCATCGCGAACAGGTGGGGATCTCTTGGGTTGCGCGCCCGCGGTCAGGTGTGGGGGGGAAGGGGGATTTGACAAGACCACCCCTTCGAACCCTCACGGATTCCCGTTCTTCCCCCCAAAAAACACCGCCACTTCCCCTCCCTTTCCCCCAACCCTGAGGGTGGGAGGTGCAGATGCAATCAAAATGCACATTGCCAATTCTTTCTCCACTTGTCATGGACGTTGAAGCTGAAGGATTGGTTTCGCCTACTTTATCTACCAGCCGCCAATCGCGGTCACATCCTTCGTGGATCTCAAGGATCTTTCCCTGTAGCTACGCCACGATGGCGAAGGCAGGCGTCGTTTCCGTTTTGATTCTTGCCGTTGTCCTTCTTGCCGTGAACGTTGAGGTAAGCTATGCCTGAACTTTTTCGCGAATCTGCTCAATTTCTCCATTTCTGATAGAGTTTGTTCATTCGCTCCTTCAGGCCAAGGTGAAGACGGCATCCAAAGAGGAGGTCACTCACAAGGTATTCTTCGATGTGGAGATCAACGGCCAAAAAGCAGGTCCGAACTTAATCATTTCCCACTGCATTCTGTCGAGATTGAAGTTCCAACAGACATTGACTTTATTCGGGGTGTGCTTTACTTCTGCAGGCCGTATTGTGATTGGTCTTTTTGGCAACGCCGTCCCCAAAACTGTCGGTAAGTAGCTATAGACGTAGGATTCTTTTCCTGCGGTTGTCTTATCGAAATACTGACCGAATTCGCCGTTCACATCTTCCGTCTCCCGTTCGATCTTTATCTGCAGAAAACTTCCGAGCTCTTTGCACTGGTAAGCAGTTACTCTACTGTGTATGGGGTATCTTTAGGTCGACGAGCTAGTTCTAAAATATATCATTTTGCTGCAGGTGAGAAGGGCATTGGAAAGAGCGGCAAGCCCCTGCACTACAAGGGCTCCAAGTTCCACAGGATCATTCCTCAGTTCATGCTGCAGGTACGTATCATATATCAGGAGTGGTTTATCCCTTAAAAGTCGCTATGTCTCACGTCAATTTGCTGAATCACGGCTCGCTTTGCAGGGCGGTGACTTCACTCTTGGGGATGGCCGCGGTGGCGAGTCTATCTATGGCGAGAAATTCGCTGACGAGAACTTCAAGCTGAAGCACACTGGCCCTGGTATGTCCCGCGTCACACAGCCCACACAGCCAATTCTTCACCCATAGCCCTCTTTGCTGCTCACTCGTTGCTATTGGCATGCTCTCGCCTTCCACCTCTCGTCAATCTTCATTCACCCCATGTGAGTGACTCACGATTCAGAAAAAGGTCGGCAAAGATAATAACAAAAACACTTTCAAGATAGCCACGTGATCCTATTTGAACAACCACATACTGGATGCCTTTTGAACATTGTTTCCCTTTACTCCCGCCTGTGCCCCACCTGATACCAGGCATTGTCAGCATGGCCAATGCTGGTCCCAACACCAACGGCTCCCAGTTCTTTATCTGCACTGTCAAGACCAGCTGGTAAGTGCTGAGCCCACCTGATTCTTCATGTACTGTTTTGGAAATTGGTGCCGGATTTGTTCAGAGATTGAGAACCACTTGGTGCTTTGCTTATGCGTGCAGGCTGGATGGTCGCCATGTGGTGTTTGGCAAGGTGCTGGAGGGGATGGACGTGATGTACAAGGTGGAGGCTGAGGGCACACAGAGCGGCACCCCGAAGGCCACTGTCACCATTGCTGACAGTGGTGAGCTGCCCATGTGAATGCGCTCAGATGATTTCTGAGCTAACCATACACTGAGTTACTGGCTTATGACATGCTTGGTGCCTGACTTCTGATACTTGGATCCAGGCCCCTATATTGGTTTCAGGGCACGCTGAAAAATCAGAGACGTCAGGGTCTGCTTGGAACTGTTAGGCAAATCTGTTGAATTACAATTATTTTTACTTGAAAATGTTGATAAATGCAATCCCACATGCTGCAATCACCCCAAACGCAATCAGCCCTCTCAACAGGGTCAGCTGGATAACCGAGAGCTGGTGGGAGTAAAGGCGGTCAAAAATCACAGCTGGTAGCACCATAGACACTCCCACAGAACAGACTCCTCCCACCACTGACTCCACTCTGTCCAGCACATCATACCTGCAAAATTGCCGTAGAGGCCACAACAACAGGGACAATCTCTCTGACCTCTTTCAGCAAAAACGTGCAGACCATTATATTGTGAAGCCACTAGCGCTGGCACCTGAGAGAATTGGAAGCAGGAAAAAAAAAAGACTCACGTGAGGTATGCTGTGAGGTAGCCGACGAAGGTGACAGCAACGCGAGTGATGCCCTCAGCTATCGCTGCAGGGATGCGCAGGGGAGCAGGAATGCAAGCGAAAAACACTGAACCTTGAGTGGAAGACTAGTGCCTTGCCTTCAATAATTTGCCAAAAAAAATGTTAGTACAGTGGTCCAAAACAAATGCAGCAGGCAAAAGCAGCAGTGGGGCCATGGGAGCAAGGAGGTACCGGAGTGGCGGTGTGGCACTGGCTGTGCGCTGCATTGGGGCGGTGGTAATCCACCATCAGCAGGGCAGACACTCTCCGCACCATCAGCAACAGGATCCGCAGCACTTGGTGTGGGCTTGTGTGAGGAGACAGGCAGGCCGAGGCGGGCAGAGAGGTCGAGAATCAGCTCTGACATCACATACACCAGAGCCTTTTCATAGAGAGGAGGGGTTGGGATGGGGGGGGGAAGAGGAGTGGGAGGTGGTTTAAAACATGATGGCAAGAAAAGCAGCCACAGGTCAGTTTTAAGGTGCGAAGATGGGATACAGCTCAAGATGGGATACATCTCAAGATGGGATACAGCTCAAGATGGGATACAGCTCAAGATGGAATACAGCTCAAGATGGGATACAGCTCAAGATGGGATACAGCTCAAGATGGAGGGAATAAATCCGGGATTTTAATTTCGAGTGGCCCAATAGAGAGTCGACATACTGGTATGGTTGTAAACACACTGGCATCGACGAGGAGAAAGAGTTGATTTTTTTTAGTCGACTCAAAAGTCAACTCGGGACACGAAAGCACGTCGACATACCGGTATGGTTGTAAACACACTGGCAGCGACGAGGAGAGAGAGGAGGGCGGAGAGGGAGACGGAAACGGAACCCCATTGGAGCAGAATGATGCCGGCAGCAGCTCCAGCGTCGTCCAGGCTGGCGGTTACCAGCACGCGCACGGAGTCCCCAAAGTAAAGGTAGGCGAATCCACCCATGGTGGCATAGCTGGTGGAACGAGTGAAAGAGGATTGCGAAAGGGGAAAGAATGAAGCAAGTGGAAATTCTGGCAGAACGAGGTGCGACCAGGCAACAGCTCCAGCGTCGCCCAGGCTGGCGGTTACCAGCACACGCACGGAGTCTCCAAAGTAAAGGTAGGCGAATCCACCCATTGTGGCATAGCTTGTGGGAGGAGTGAAAGAGGATTGTGGGAGGGGAGGATGACACAAACGAAGTGTTAGAATGCACACAGGCTGGCTGTTACCAGCACGCACACGGAGTCCCCGAAATAAAGGTAGGCGAAGCCACCCATGGTGGCATAGCTGGTGGAACGAGTGAAATAGGATTGGGAAAGGGGAAAGAACGAAGCAAGTGAAAATTCTGACAGAGCGTGGTGCGACCAGGCAGCAGCTCTAGCGTCGGCCAGGCTGGCGGTTACCAGCACGCGCACGGAGTCTCCAAAGTAAAGGTAGGCGAATCCACCCATGGTGGCATACCTGGTGGAACGAGTGTTAGAAAATTGGGTGAAGGAATTGAGACAAGCTACTGAAGAGTACACATCCATGCGAAATCCTTCAAATAGAAGGAAGCAAAGACTGCCCATGGCTCACAGGAGGAGCATGGCGGTGGGCTCACAGGAGGAGCATGCAATGTCGATGCACCATGGTGTCTGCATAGTCTGTGCTTCAGGCTCAGTGGGGGACTCACAGCAACAACAGAGCGGTGCATTCACAATAGAAACGCACTGGTGGGCTCATAGGCGAAGGTGACCTGTGAGCCCACCAGTGGCAGAGAATGTGACTTTAATAATTCGCTCAAAGTGCTGCGGTGTCTGCATGCTGGGTGTTTCAGGTTATGGCTCAGCAATGAAGTCCAATCAGGAGGACGGTGGGAGATCACTGCAGGAACAAGCGGCAGACTCACAGGAGGAAAATAACGACAGGCTCACAGGAGGAGATAGCGACAGGCTCACAGTAGGAAAATAGCGACAGGCTCACAGGAGGAAAATAGCGACAGGCTCACAGGAGGAACATAGCGACAGGCTCACAGGAGGAACATGGAGGAGAATGTGACGATGATGCACTGGTCAAAGTGCTGTGGTGTCCGCATGCTGCGCCGGAGGGATGGCAGACCCGCATGGCCTGATCGCATGGTGTGACACAGCATGGGATAGCATGGCATGATTGCATGGTGTGGAATGGTATGGTATGGTATGGTATGGTATGGTATGGTATGGTATGGTATGGTATGGTATGGTATGGTATGGTATGGTATGGTATGGTATGGTATGGTATGGTATGGTATGGTATGGCATGGCATGGTATAACACGGCATGGAAACAGATGGCATATTCAAACATTGAATCCGGTTACAAAAGCACTTTCAGCAATGGTGACATGGGAATGCGAGATTGCAGGATAATCAGAACACCTGAAGAACTTCCTGAACGCCTGAAGATTCACCTGAGAGCGAAACCATGAAGATGCCGGCTGCCATGGGCAGGTGGGACCAGGAGACGGTGGAATGGTGGTGAGCGCGGGGTTCTGGGAGAGCAGCAGAGGAAGGGTCACTCGCCCACGTGCCTAGCATCACTGGCAGGGTGGGGGGGAAAGAGAGGGGGGGAAGGGAGGGTGTTTAAATAAGCTGAGAAAAAAACAAAATGAAGACAAGACTATAAAGCGCCACATCAAGGTCAGCCTCAAACCGTTACTTTCTGGCCTGCATTTTGAGTCCATCCAAAAGCCTCTCTCTGTGATCAGCCTCAAGTACCCTCTCTCCCTCGCCCGCATCAAGGTCAGCCTCAAAACATTACCTTAGGCTGATGCGGGCGAGGGAGGGAGGGCACTTGAAGCTGGTCACAGAGGGGCTTTTGGATGAACTCAAAATGCAGGCCAGCAGTGCGCTGCTGGCGGCACCAGAGAGGGCAGATTTGGTGAGGCGAGCAATGGAGCGCGCTAGCACTGTGGGGATGATGAGCACTAGCAATCGAAGAGGGGTAGGAGATACCAGAGAAGAGAAGTGTGCTAAAGAAATACCGGAGCAGCAAAGGAGCCAGGAAATACCGGAGCAGAGCAGAGTGCTGCTGGCGACACCGGAGAGAGCTATGTTGGTAAGGCGAGCAAATCAGCACACAAGCACGGTGGGGATGACGAGTACCAGGAACCAAAGAGAGGTAGGAGTTACCAGAACAGAGCAGAGTGCTGCTGGCGACACCGGAGAGGGCTACGTTGGTGAGGCGAGCAAAGGAGCGCACTAGCACGGTGGGGATGACTAGCGCTAGGCTGGCCGCTATCACGAGGTGCCTGCAGGGGTGCGGGGCGTGGGGAGATGGTGGAGATGATAGGAAGAGGGGATAATGGGGGAAGGAGTAGTGAGATTGGTGAGGCGCAAAAAGGAGCGCAAGAGCACTGTGGGGATGACTAGCGCTAGGCTAGCAGCTATCACGAGGTGCCTGCAGGGATGTGGTGGGGAGACAGATAGAAGAGAGGATGGGAGGATGGGGAGAGGAAGGGTGTGAATATTTCAGGGGATTAAAGGAGTGCATGGGCTTGATGGGGAGGGAAGGAGTGAGACTGGTGAGAAAACATGAGCACTGATGCATGCACGAGGTAAGTACCTCGGCAAGAGGCAGAGCGCAGCAGCAGAGGGTGCAGAGGCATCGGCAGCGGAGGTGGCGAAGGAGGGGAGGCAGAGCGTGGGGAGGGGCGGCAGGAAGATGAGAGCGGACTGCCACACTATGATGAGACACATGCCGAGCGCTCCCCAGAACTCGAATAGCACTGCCACCATCACCTGATGCACACAAGGGACGGAAGGAGCGAGGGGTAGGAGGGAAGGGAAGTTTTTAGGAGAGAAGGGGGAAATAAGGAACACACATGCCGAGCGCCCCCCAGAACTCGAATAGCACTGCCAGCATCACCTGATGCACACAAGGGACGGAGGGAGGGGCGGGGGTAGGATAAGAACCATTTTGTTAGGGGAGGAAGGGGAAGATGAGACCATGCCGAGCGCCCCCCAGAACTCGAATAGCACCGCCACCATCACCTGATCGGGATATGGCGAACAGAGCACATGGGTGGGATGGAGGGAGAGGAGAGGAGAGGGAGGGCACGTGTCAAACACATGCTGAGCGAGCGCTCCCCAGAACTCAAAGAGCACTGCCACCATGACCTGATGCACACATGCCAACATGGGACAGAGGGAGAGGAGAGAGAAGGAGGGAAGTCTCATTGTTGTGAGAGTAAGGGCAATGGGACGGATACACATGCCAAGCGCATTCCAGAACTGAAACAACACCACCACCATCACTGATTGATTGAACAATCATGGCAAGTGGGGACACATGGCAAGTGGGGACACATGGCAAGTGGGGACACGTGGCAAGTGGGGACACATGGCAAGTGGGGACACGTGGCAAGTGGGGACACATGGCAAGTGGGGACACGTGGCACTCACAGCCCATTCGCCTGGCGGACCGAAGGCGAAGCGGGCGAGGGCAGGGTAGGAGGGCAGGGTAGGAGGGCAGGGTAGGAGGGCAGGGTAGGAGGGCAGGGTAGGAGGGCAGGGTAGGAGGGCAGGGTAGGAGGGCAGGGTAGGAGGGCAGGGTGAAGGGAGGGAGGGCGTCGAATGTGTGACAGAGAACAGGAGGATAGGATGCACAACGCAGAAATCCATGTGGAGCAACGTGCATGTCACTCACCGCCCATTCTCCCGGGGGACCGAAGGCAAACCGTGCAAGGGCGGGGTAGGAGGGCAGGGTGGAGGGCGGGAGGGCGGGGTGGGAGGGCAGGGTGGAGGGCGGGAGGGCGGGGTGGGAGGGAGTCGAATGCAGGGAGCAGGAGAATGCAGGGAGCAGGAGAATGCAGGGAGCAGGAGAATGCAGGGAGCAGGAGAATGCAGGGAGCAGGAGAATGCAGGGAGCAGGAGAATGCAGGGAGCAGGAGAATGCAGGGAGCAGGAGAATGCAGGGAGCAGGAGAATGCAGGGAGCAGGAGAATGCAGGGAGCAGGAGAATGCAGGGAGCAGGAGAATGCAGGGAGCAGGAGAATGCAGGGAGCAGGAGAATGCAGGGAGCAGGAGAATGCACAACGCAGAAACCAAAGTCGAGTGCAACGGACGTGACACTCACAGCCCATTCGCCCGGCAGGCCGAAGGCGAAGCGGGCGAGGGCAGGGTAGGATTGCAGGGTGGAGGGCGGGAGGGCGTCGAACGCACGGCAGAGCAGGCGAGCCGTGGTGCAGAATAGGGTGGTGCAGAGGGCGAGCACCAGCTGTGGTGCAATGGGAGGGCGGAAAAGAGGGGGGAGAAGGAGGAAGGCGGGTAAGAGGAGAGGGCATGTGAAGTGACTAGAAGCTGGACAGAGCAGGCGAGCCGTGGTGCAGAAGAGGGTGGTGCAGAAGAGGGTGGTGCAGAAGAGGGTGGCGAGGAGCAGTTGTGTTGATAGGGGAAAGAGCTAAGTGTAGCTGGCAGCACGGATGGCTAAAAATATGGGAATGAGGGAATTGAGGGGACGGTAGAGTGGACAAGGTGTGGTGCAGAGGGGGGTTGTGAAACAGAAGGGGGTTGTGCAGCAGAGGGCGGAAAGCAGTTGGTGGAGTTGTAAGAGGAATTCGGTGCTGAGAGAGAGAGGGGCGGCGGAGACAGAGGGGAGGAGAGAGATGGAGGGAGGGAGTAAAGGGAGGAGCGAACTCACAAGGCTCGTCCAGCCGCCCAGCATGACTGCATAGGGATGAGCTAGATGGATAGATAGATAGATGGAGGGAGGAAATAGGGGGAGTAGCGAACTCACAAGGCTCATCCAGCCGCCCAGCATGACTGCATAGCCCATAGAGAGCAGACCTGCCCCAACGAAAAGATTTATCTGCCCAAGGGCAAGGGCGCGGAGGACATGGGTGCAGAACAGCGAAGTAGCACGAATTGGTTGGGATTTTTCTACCATCAGAATCGCTGCTTTACACTAGAAAAGCAAGACAAAACACGACAAGTTAAGACATGACAAACATACAAACACACAGTAAGGGCATGATATTAAGGCAGTAAGGGCATGATATTAAGGCAGTAAGGGCATGATATTGAGGCAGTAAGGGCATGATATTAAGGCAGTAAGGGCATGATATTGAGGCAGTAAGGGCATGATATTGAGGCAGTAAGGGCATGATATTAAGGCAGTAAGGGCATGATATTGAGGCAGTAAGGGCATGATATTAAGGCAGTAAGGGCTCTAATCACCTACCGTGTTGAGAACGGTTTGGAAGTCCGTCTGTAGGTGCGCGCCCAAGTCCGCCTCCGCCTCCCCTTCCGCCTCTGCCGCATCAAATGCCCCCAGGACCTCCTGCTTCGACAGCCCCGGGCTGCGCGGACTCCGCACGCCCTCCCCTCCACCCGGCCCTCCGCTTCCCCATCTCCCCCTCCTCCCCGAGCCTCCCGCTTCCCCCCGTTCGTTCCCAAAGCTAATTCGCCTCTTCCGCGAATCGGCTTCCGCGCAGAGGTCGCTTCCCTCCGATATTGTCACATTCGCTGAGTCGACGCTCGCGCGTCTGTTTGGCGGGGGTCCGCTTGCGGTGGCTGCGCCACGGGGTATTGTCAGGTTCACGCGCGCGCGATACTCATGAGATACTGCGGAGTCTGACGTGGCACGCGTGTTAGATTCCTGACCGCCTGTTGAAGGTAACAACGGTTCGCGAAGCATCGCGAAGAATAGCGAAGAATAGCGAATAATAGTCTAGGTGAGTGGGAAGAGGAAGTTCGCACGGTCAGGAGACACCAGAGGGGTTACGCTACTACCACTACTCGGTCTCGAAATCGGAGGCTCAACAATTCGCGGCAATTAACGCACTCTCTGCCAACAAACCCAACTAGCATAACCGTGAGTTTGCCAAGATGTCTAATCTGGCAACTACGGGGCGCTCGAGAGTCCATGCACTGCCACGAACCGCAAACAAACGCAGAGCTAGAGATGTTAAAATCCTCGCCAAACCCCCTACCTGCCTGGTCAACTAGCCTAACTGCCACGTGGAATTATCATGTAAAAAGCCCCCTCGAAAAAGCGTCCCACGTGGTGCCAGTTTGACCTGCCAAAAGTGAACCCAAATCGCTTTTGCGAAGCCCGTACATTGTCGTGCGGACTGTGTTACTTTTGTGTGCTTCGCAAAACCACAGTTCCGCTGACATCTTTTTCCGCCAGCACGAACCTCCAAATTATTCAGGTGATCTCATTTGGCTGCAGCTGAAGTTCACCTGCTTGTCAGGCAGATTCAACGCCCTGGCTACACACACTTCCCATTTCGGTTTCCAGGACTCCACAATTCACATTCACGCTCCGCATTTTCCCATTCTATATTCCATCATTTTCAGCCCACTCATATCCACATACTCCACATCGGTCGTTCTCATTCTACGCTCTTTATCGTTCTGCTCAAACAAAATTCGACGCGTGCATGCCTGCGTTGTGCCGGCTCCTTCAAGTATCAACAAAAATGGTTCTCAGTCCCCGTGCAGTGGCAGCTTCAGCTGCACCTAGCTCTAGCCTACATGCTCTGAACTCCATTTGCGGTACTAGCGCACGCGATGTGCTTTTGCTTCGTTTTTTTTTCGTCGCATGCTACTAATTTTCTCGTCGGAAGCAGGGACTAAAGAACACTTCCCGGCTCTTCGTTCAACTAAGGCAGCGAAGGTCCTATTTGGCATTGCAACACTCTCAGCTTGCTCTCAAGCATCACGTGATTACTGACTCTCTTTCTCCCGTGCAGGCTGTATCTTATTCTCCATGCGGGAGCTATGTTCCTCTCACCCCAGAGGGCTCGCCGCACCCTAACATACCTATGCCGAAGGAGGCACTTCCATCATCTTCAGGCTATCTTCCCGTCAGCACGTCCACTCCTGAGTCTCGAATGTTCTATACATACTACGAGGCGACGGAACCGTCAAGATCGCTTGCAGAGACTCCGCTTCTTCTTTGGCTTAACGGTGGTCCGGGTTGTTCGAGTATGATCGGCAATTTCTATGAGATTGGTCCCTGGAATGTCGCTATAACAGATGACGCCATTGACAGCCTTCACCTGAAAAAGAATCCATGGGCGTGGAACAGAAGGTAAGCTGCTGATGGATCATGGTATAACGCAATTATGCCATCACTGATGCAGACTGACGCCTTGACTGTGTGTTGCGACAGATACGGCCTGCTATTTATTGATAATCCGATTGGCACAGGGTTCAGTGTCGCGGGAAGCATCGAGGATATCCCTCAAGACCAGCCTACAGTGGCAAAGCACCTCTATAATGCCCTATCAGCATTCTTTGACATGCATCCGAGCTTGTGTGGCCGTCCATTCTTTGTTACGGGGGAGTCATATGCTGGGAAGTATGTACCTGAGCTCAGCTGCTTGTTGATGCAGCAGCAGCAGCGAGACCAGGGCCTTCCAGTGGAGTTAGCAGGAATTGTTGTCGGGAACGGTTTCACAGACCCTCGGATACAGGTAGGTTTTCCGGTGGGTATTATCAATTTGCGGCTGCTTTATGTAGCTGGTGAGACTGAAAATGCTGCCTGCTGCTTCAGGTTCAAGTTCATGAGCATGTTGCTAGGGCCTTCAATATGCTCACTGGCCGCCAGGCAGACTATGTGAAGGAAGAGGCCAAAAGAGTGGTTCAACTCATAGACAGGTAGTGTTCTTCTTGTGATTCCATCAGCATATTGTCTACATTGACTGACTATGACGTCAAATGGACAGGGAAGAATGGGAAGAGGCTCATTATGCACGCACCGCACTGTGTGAGTGGATAGAGCACAAAGCAGGAACCCCAACGTTGCTGGATATTCGGCGGCATGCCAAGTACCACGCGACACAGGTACTGCGGCAACAAGTGCCATAAAATTTCCCGCAAAATTTACGTCACTCACCTTACTCTCCTAATCTTATTTCAGGGTGGAGTGGAGTACCTTTCATTGTTTCTTAATCAACCTCATGTCAAGGAAGCACTCCACGCTGAACCAAGAATTAACTGGGCCAGTTGCCGGCCACACATTCGACGCCACCTTGCTCAGGTGTGTGCCTCATTTGGATTCGTGAAAATTCACATCAGACAATGCCAATGTCTCAACCTATACACATAACTCGCTTGAGCAGGATACAATGAAGAGCAGCAAGAAAGCATTTGAGCAAGTGCTTTCAGCAGGTGTCCCTGTGCTGCTGTTTCAGGGCCTGTTTGATGCTAAGGATGGCCCTACCAGCTCTGAAGCGTGGATGCGCACTCTGTCCTGGAGTGATGCAGACAGATTCTGGGATGCCGAGCGAGTGGTGTGGCTTGTATGCGGAAGGAGAGAAGGATATTGGAGACAGTGGAAGAATTTGACTCATGTGATTGTGACCGGTGCTGGACACCAAGTGCCTGCTGACCAACCTGAGGCTGCAGCAGCCATGATCGAGACATGGGTGGAGCAACACATCTCACTGGGAAGGCCAATCTCAGATGTGCATATCGATCAGCCCTTAGCTGTGGGGATTTAGCCCGAGCTGGCTCTAGAAGCTGCGATGGCCTCGCTGGGCAATGGTACAGGGAATTATGCGCATATGAGAACATGACTTTTGCACAAATGAGTTGTATTGGGGGTATATATATGTACGGAAGAGGTCAAAATGGCAGCTCCCTACCTCATCTTGTTGCCAGGGATGACTGTAGGGGAGGATCCAGCGCATACGTTTTAGGTTGCACTGCAGTTCATCTTATTGCCTCGAGGTGCAAAAAGGTGAAGATTTAGAACCGCTGTGCACCAATTTATATCGTCTCGAACATCGACGGATGAACTGTAAAGCACCTGTAAACGTACGCGCTGGACCCGCCCTAATTAATAGAATTTGGCCACTAGTGAGGAACGAGACGAGATGCTGGATTCTGTTGACAGTAAGGACATTAAAGCAGTAGTGCATGAACACCTAGGGCTACCAAGTGGAACCATGGGGATGAGCAGAAGGCAGAAGGCAACAGGAATAGCCCAAAGGTCCAATCCAATGGCAAGGGGTAAAGGAGAAAAGCATTTGCATTATATGCACTTATGAAAGATAAAAGATTACTCAGGGAGACCACAGGGCTACCATAAAGCATCGGTCACCCCGCTGGATGAGCCTCGAGCCTGCATGGCTCAAGAAGTTTGAACATCTTGGAAATAACCCTGCCTTGTCACCTTGTGGCACCAGCCATAGCCACTGAACGCTCAGCAGCAAGAGACTGCACGCGTGCAACATCTGAAGTTACCCAGGCAGTCCCCATGTACAAGCCATGCCATAAGGTACTAGGTATATTACTTATTCGGAGCTTCAAGACCTCCCAGAAACCGAGGGAGCGGCGTACGGTGTCCACCAGTCCGACTGATACTTGGGATAAGGAGCGTCCCACTTGGCAGGCTTGTAGTTGTTCTCAATGGGAAGTGATTTCAAGGCCTCTTCCTGGGAGTCACACTCGAACTCGCCCCTGAGAACACGGTCCAATCTCAGCTTCATAAATCTGAAAGGGCCGGGGGGAACATGCAAGCCAGGCAAGAGTGAATGATCGTGACCACCGAGCGTGAATCTCCTCACTCACAGCACGCGATATTTTTAGCGTATGTACTACGCACTGCCTGTCCCGATATCTAGAACAACTGTCATTCAAGAGCATTGAAGAACACTTACGTCATCCAAACAGCGTCGGTGGTGACAAGAGCCACAGCAGGCCTGTTCACTCGCTTGGCGATCTCAGGGAAGCTCGCAAGAAACTCGGGCTCGTACACGAGCCAGAAGTCCTGCGGGCGACCCTGTTCGTGCAGCCACCTGAGTCGCTCCTTAAGCTGCTCCTGGAAGTGCTCCTCCTCGTCCAGCATGAACTTGGCGTTCGCCACAATGAAGTGGTACGTCGTGCTCGTGGTTGAGGCAGAATCAGCCTGCATTGTCAGGGGATTTGGTACACATTGAGTTCCATCTTAAGGCTTGTTCATTTAGGGTACAAGTCGTCACCGGATTCACATTGCTGCATCTGTCGGACCCGCCCTGGCATCAAAATCGACGGAATCAAGCTATGAATAATGGTACTTCACCTGCTTCTTTGCAACATCGACTGAAGATGCCTGAGCCCGGGCGACGACGACTTGAGCCCTCTCCACCGGCTGCGCCTGGACGGAGGCGGTGCGGGTCTTCACACTCAATGGAGCGAGCGCCACGCGAGCAGTGCATTGTTCCTGCCTGCTGACGAGGCCACTGAGAGCGACAAAGTTAAACTGGCTAGCGGCGATTGTGGTGGCTGCCATTATTGCTTGAGAACGGATGTGCTCAAGCAGGAATTGAGCCCAAGGATTTGAGCCTTGTTTTGGGAACTCAAGCAGGACGTGCTAGGGGAGCAGGAAACGTGATGGATACACCAACTTGGAAGCACACATTCACATTTCCCTCATGTTTATGCCTTTGGAGAAACTGTAAAATTTTGCCCAGAACTGAAGTTCTCGAGGCGCAGGAATGCCCAGAATTCTCACCCCTAGAAGGGTCTGCTCGATGAGTTGGCGATGTGAAGTTCCGCTTCGCCTATAGCGTGGGAGCAGGGTCGGTGTGCTGGACGAAAGCGCACCATCCTAGTGGGCGACAAGGTTGGGCCCCTACACGTTTGCGACTAGCATCCCCGCGACAAGTTATCACGAGCCACGTGGAATATCATTTGCTTCAGACC